CACACACACACACACACACACACACACACACACACACACACACACACTCCCATCTCAGACATAAGAAGCATTTATTGACCAGTTACCCACATGGCAAACGGTCTCATAACAACCTTAGGAGGAAGGGACAGCACATGCCCAGCAAAACACAGATGTAAAATTTCAATTTCGGTCGCTCATGAAGGGCATCAAAGATGCAGAACATATATAGCTCCTCATGATGTTGCAGAAGGACAAATTGGACCATACAGGTGAGGAAGGAGATAATGTGTAGAAGTCAGTCACTTAGCTGATGATTGAGAGCAAAGGTCAGAGTTTCCTTCTCAAAGAATCTTTTACTTTCACAGCTCCTCATCAGTAGAGTATTGTTTACTGTTACATATGCAAGTTCTTGAGCCAAACAGACTACCTAGCTCCACCTCTAACTAGCTGTGTGACCACAAGTAAGCTACTTAACCTCTCTGTGCCTTGATCTAGAAAAATGAAAACAATAACAGTCACTACCTCACAGGGTATTTACAAGAATTAATAATTACACGCGAAGTATACTTAGAACTTAAAAATCACTCAATTATTATTATTATTACTAACATATTCACAGAAATGCTTAAGTATTGTATTCTCTAGTATAAGGATTCTCAGTGTTCAAGATATAACTTTCAGGACTGTCCAGGGAATATTTTACTATTATCTCCAACTGAGGAAGGTAAAGTTCAAAGCCATTAAGTTGCCACAGATCACACACCTCAAGGCGGCTGAATCAGAATTTAAACCCAACAAGACAGAATCAGGCCTGCATGTCACGTCTCTCAGTACATTAGTCCCTCAAAGTCAAGAGGTACCCCTTCATTATTTTGGTTACTGGAATAAAAGTGCCTAAATTAATCTTTATTGAATGTAAGGAAAGGAGAGTGGAGGAGAAGGAAGGGACAGTGAGGGAGGGAGGGAGGGAGAAGGAGAAAGTAGGTAAGACCACTCTAATTCTGCCATCATTAAGAGGACCTCCAAGGAAGATAATAAAAATGACAGCTGATACCTAATTAGAGAGCTCTTACTATATCCCAGGCACTACAAACATACAGACTTAATCTTTACAAGCAATTCTATAAGGTACTCATTACTACGCTCATTTTGTAAATGAGAAAAGTTAAACACAAAGAAAGGTTAAGACACGTGTCCAGTTACTCAGCAATAAGTGGCAACATGGGCTCCCAGCTGGGCTTAACACAATGTTGTAAGTCTGGAAAACCGACTTACTCTATTGTAGAAAGAACACAGGGATAACTAAAATATCCTAAATTGGTTCACTTGAATAGTAAGAATAATTTACACAACATAAACACCCAAGGTATGGGGAAAAGCACACATATGTACACACACAAACACATCATAGGCGATTCTTACACGAGGCATTATTTTTTATATGATATTTGTAATCCTGTTTTTTATTAACTCATGCATTATAACTTATCTAGTACCACTAGCCCTCACCTGCTGAGAGGTGCAGCAACTCCTGGAGTGTAGGCAAAGAAGGCTTCAAAACAAAGCAAAGTGACAAAATGAACTACTGTACACTGACTACAATAAAAAATACCTGGACCATAAATCTTTAAATATCAAGTAACTTTGTTCGTCCAATATTACTGATGAATACTAAAACCTAAATTATATTTGTGACATAAATACAACAAACAGTACACAAAAAGAATATTCCATCTCCACATCCAGAAGCCATTCTAATAGGAAATTCCAAATTAATATATCAAACTGAAAAGCTGTCAAAACATGAAAGCAAAGTCTTCCTTAAGACTCTCCTCAGTCAGGAAATTTCTCAGAACCTACAGTTTGGTTGCAGATATTGAAACCCATCAGCTGATGTGCAAATACTGCTAATTGAGCACCGAAGAAAAATCAGAGCGCAACGTAATTTTCAAACTTTAATAGCATTTGGGAAACCATTTTTTGTATTCTATCAATCTGCTTGAATTAAATAACTAGCTAAAATATACACACACACAGAGTCAAAGCTATAATGACTTGACCTAACAAGAGATATAAGAAAGACAAAAGTTTCACAGTGCTCTGGACTCTCTCATGACTGAAATCCTCAATTAAAAGTATAAGTGTTTCGGGGGAGGTGGTTAATAATTTAAGATATTTGAGAATAAACTGAAAATGCTTTTTGGTAACTCTGATTAATCCTCACAATTTTAAGAAGCTCTGAGCTCAAAAATTACATGAATGGTGCGAGTGAGTAGAATTTTCTAGTGATTTAACAGTCACCTTGAACACAGTTGCTTCAGATGTTGCCGGCTATTTATAAGTCACATACAAACTACTGTCAAACAAAGATATTCAAGGTAATGGTAATATTACCTTTTAAAAGTCTAATAAATTTGTCTGACAAGCAGAACTTTAATTTTTAGTAAAACTACAGTGGAAATCCACATGAAAACATGAGAATGTCTCTCCTGCCTCATATTCCCTAAGATCCACCTGACTCAAAGCACCTCAGAAGACAAAGACACCAAGGAACCTTTAACAGGCTATCACTGACCGAAGATACTAGAAGTTTAAAAAAAGAAAAAGAGAGACACACACACAATTCTGATGAAAATTTATCAAAAACCAGAGAGATGGAAGGAACTTAGTTATGCCTCCCCCACTCCCAATTCCAAACGTTTCCAGAGTTAAGAACAAAGGTAAGAGCACTTTGCTGTATACCTGAAACTAACACAACACTGTAAATCAACTATATTTCAATAAAAAATAAATAGTAAACGTAATTTTTTTTTAAGAATAAAGATAAGAGATTACATGGAAACTAGCCAAGCATACCACTAATCGCCAAGCATACCCGCTTCATTTAGGGCAACGAGGTCCGGGATTGAAAATCTACCTCCTTCTTATCAGGTAAGGTTCAGGACACTGGGAGACACCCACTGTCCTGATAGGACAGCAGGATGGTTTGAGTTGGTACTAACCTGACTTCTACCTTTAGGTAAAAGAACTCGAGCAATGTTAACAAATTGCTAGTAATTTAATTCTAAACAACAACTTCCTGTCATTCCCGCTGCTTAAAAAAAAAAAAAAATCTGTTTAATTAAAGAATATTCTACAGTAAGCATAAAAACAAATAAACTATTATCATTTATAGCTAATTCTAAATCTATGCAACTGAAACAAGTAAATAAATTGCAATCCAAAACTGATGTAAACCTGAAACTCTCATCCATATTCCCCAATTTCTATTTGTGCTTTTATCCAATAGCCTCACGGCTGTACTGTTATTGAAAAATGGGACAGAGGGCAGAATCTATTGCTAATGGACTAAATGACCAAAAGTACTCTTTAGTTAAAAACCTAAAAAGGAACACGAGTGAACTAATGCAAAATGAGTTAATAATAGTGCAACACTAAATAGAAAACTCACCTTGCAAAGGCAGAATCTTTACCCCAAATTCTTCGAGGCACCCCAGGGCTTGGATAAGATCTAGCTCCTCTTGAATGGCAGCGGGTCTATCTGTTATCAGCTGTAAGCAGCACCTAGGAGAAATTCATTTTTAAAAAGGAAAAGTAACATATGTTCAGCTAAGTTGCCCTTCTATGATCAACAACATAGAGATCCAACACATTTATCAAAAACCAACTTCCTTCCAGGTATTCTGCTAGAGGCTTTCTGATATCTTATTTAATCCTCACAGCAAGGCTGTGAGACAGGCAAATATCACCATCTGCTTTTTAAGGAAGCCAAAATTGAAGCTCAGAGGTGAAGCAGTTTGCGCAGGGTTATGCTGACGGTACGTAAGGTATCACAGGATAAAGCAAGATACGTTAGCTCTGGGTTTAGTGTTCTGTTCACTGTTGACTCAAAAGATAATGATCATGTAAAAAAAATTTAAAAAAACAGAAGGAATACAGTTAATTTCCAGTTATTCTTTTAAGGAAAACAGAAATGTCTTGATTCGATCACAATTTTGTCTCTCAAAGGAAAAGGAATAACCTAAGAAACTGCACAAGAGACATTTTTCTGATCAGAAACAATCAGTTGGTGATGTAGTACTGAGATAAATACAGATGAAAGTGATTTGATAATCTACGAATTTGTGATACCTATGGAGTATTTTAAGCAAATTTTTTTAAATTCAGAGAAAGTATACTTAATAAATATTGTAGTTAACGATAAACCTATTTTCTGAAAGGTGCATGGAGAGGAACAGTGGGGCATGAGACTAGAAAGACAGGTAGAGATCAGGCCATGAAGAGCTAACAATGCTAAAATCATGGACCATCACATGAAAATATCTAGGCCTCAGGATCTAACTACATGACCAAGCGACAGATATAGGCCTAGCTTGCTCTTGCAAACTTTGGGGATTTAAATCAGATGAGCACTAACACATACTTACTACTGGTTCAAGAATAAACAGTATACAACCTATTTGTGGCATCTACCAAAATTCTAACAGCACTTTGAACCCAGGAATCCCAGTTCTAGGAATTTATACTACAGATAGGCTCTCACATGCCCAGACATAATTATGGATGTTCACTACCACAGTCTTTTTAAAATAAAATATACTAAATCAGGAACTAATTAAATAAATTGTATAAAAGTCAAATAGTCTACAACCATAAAAAAGGAATGAAACAAACCTATATGTATCCACATGGAAAAACCCACAATATAGATCGTAAGTGAATAAAACAAGACACAGAAAGATAGGTACAAGTAGTATACACTTATTTGTGATTTAAGAAAGAAGGGGGTAACTTTTAATAAGATATTCCAGAAGGATACACAGGAAACTGATTAAAAATATAACCGAGGGATAAAGTTAGAGGAACTCGAATGAGGAGAAAGACATCTTCCATAACTATCTTTTGTGTATTTTTAAATATTTTATCTTGTGGATGTACTGCTTCCTCAATTAAAAAAAAAACAACCTAGTAAATAAATAGTAATTTAATCAGTAAGAATGGATGGGCTATTTTCTATTTCAATAAAACTGTAAACAATGAAATACATCTGGGCTCACAGGTCTCAATCAGATTGGTGCCACGTTACACACATACGACATCTTTTCTAAATGAAGGTGTGTCCTTGTAGGAGAAAAGGGGATGGATGAAAGGCAAATACTGCAAGTACTGTGTAGTTTCAAAAATGATCTCTAGGAGCATCTGTCAAAAAGATTTAGGTCAAACACAACTCCCAGTTGTTCTATTTGATATTTTCATCATCTGAAATAGAAATACTATCCCTTGGGAGAGAAGGAAAAAGTTTACTAACTATTTTAAACAGCTTTGTCAAGTTCAATAACATGGTTTGAGAAAACATGATTCTTTCTGTGATAAGTTATCACTGGGGGAAAAAAGTTACCTTTAAGTTTTGCTAGAGTTGAAACAACTACCAGTTATTTGAGGGGAAAAGTAACTCTAAACAACTACCACAATCTTTACATCAAAATAAATTCCAAATGGGCCTAAAATTTCCATGCAAAAATAAAACCACCAAAGTAGTAAAAAAAACAATACGAAAAACTATTTTAATGGTCTTGGGAATTAAAGGTCTTTCAAAGGATGATACAAAAGACAAAAAAGAATAACAACCGAGTTTTTTAAAAATTCAAAATAGCCATTTGAAAGATAAACTGTACATTATTAAAACTTGGCAACACAGTTTAACCATTAAGAGAGGCAAAGGGCACGTGTCCCATATGCAAAAAAAAGCTCCTAAGAATCAATAGGAAAAAGAGGAACACAAACTTTCCTGTACAACAGGCTAAGAGAGGAACAGAATTCAGAGTCCAGAAATTTCCCCCTGGAAGGGACTTCTGAGTTTTATCATCTAATCAGAGCGGAAGCCATGTAAAGCATACAGACACGACCTAATGTGTTGAAATTTTCCAGAACTTGAACTTGCTGGCTACCACTCGATCTCTTCCAACAGAAGAAAAGCATAACCTTATAGATAATCATCTAGAATGACCGTGGGAAAGTGTGCTAGAGAAAAAGGGTCACAAGAGAGTTGATGAATACTTAGGATGTACTTAAGTTTTCATTCTACATTCAAGCAATAAATAATGGTGCCCCATAGAGTAGAGTCAATCTGTACTTGTGATAACATATTTTGTGAGGTAGAGGATAAGACCAACAATGAAGTTTGTATATTCTGACTTCCCCGCCTCCCTCTTACGGAGAATACAGAGTTCCTCTACCTAGCCAGATCCATGCAGCTGTCGGTGAGGCTGGTAGAAGAATTGAAGTACTCTCTGCTGGCAGCCAAAACCAAGTCAATGCTTTTTTCGTAACTGACCCTGTACTGGGTTTTTCCTTTCTGGGCTACACTAGTCGGTGGATTTGTTGAACAAGCACTGCAGTGCATCATCTGCCCAGCCAGGTGGATATTTTCAAGGCGACCGGAACACAGAAGGCTCTCTGTAAATACCTGGGGAAAAGAAGAAACTGGAGTTAGTGCTTAAAGAGGGAGGACTCAGTTCTTGACACAATGGAGGCTCTGCTATCCAAGTGAAATAAATTTTAAAAAATACATCCAACCTACAGGTAGAGGTTGCACAATATTTATGAATGTACTAAATGACAATGAAGCACACTTTAAAACGGTTAGTATTATGTTATGTGAATGTCACGTCAATAAAAAAATCCCCCTTTTAGGAAGAAGAAATAATTTAACTGAACAAACCAATGGTAAGCATAATATTTTAATGTGTTACAACAAATACTTGAGTAAAATATCCAAAGTTCTTACTTATTAAAAACAGGATCCATTAGACACACTGTCCACACTCTGCTTAAAGTATTTATAACATTTCAATTTTTTAAAAGAAAATCTTTGAATATGATACACATGATTAATGACTGTTTAAAGCACCTGAAGTCAGTCTTGTAAACTAAACACCCAGGCTGCAAATGTTCTACTTACACCTAGTCACTAGAATTACAATACACCACAGAACATTTTTTTCTAATCTGCAATTTAAAAACTATTTAAATAAAACAAAAGCCTCTGATGGAAGGCAGTTATGCAAATGTCATTGTATTTTACAAGGCAACTAATAGCATCAATTAACATAAAATTTATTCCATAATTGAGGTTATCTACTTACTCCAAAAAAGTCCTATTAAAGAGCTCCCTTTAAACCCACACTAATAGCATCAATATATAAATAGCACAAGAACTTCCACAAGAATGTTCTTTCCTATCATGCCACTCTTGGATGAGGATAACACAGAAAAAGAAGAGATAAAAAGTAGATTTCATGGAGAAGCAAGAGTTTCCTTATAATTAGGAAGGCTACCCAGTTTTCATAGGACCCCCTTATTTTCACTTGTTTCTAGGCTTCTGGAGAAGACATTTTTAGACAGCTGTTTCCTAAAATGACTGATAAGGATAAAATTACTAATACCTACGAGAGATCTGCTATAAAATCCATATTGTGACAGAAAGCAAATTATCAGTGAGTAACCCTAATCGCTTATATGACAGGTGAAAATGGCTTGCTCCATGTGACCAAAATGACTTAGATGTAACAATATCTCTATTCCTTTGGTTTATTCAGGTAAGCCATAAAGAGTCAATGCGCAATACTAAAAAATAAAATTCACTCACTCTAATATTTTCAAGGTTTTGCTGAAATGAACAATATAGATTTCTGCTCTACAGGCTGTATGGAAATCTTGCACCTTATCAAAATTATGCCAATGAGATTTAAAATTATTTTCCAATGACAGCAAAACCTAATACAGTGGCCACAGCTCAGTAAGACAATATGGCATCATTTAAACATCACTAAAATATTTTAAAATGTAAGTTTGCCAAATCTGTATTATCTTCTAGAATCGGTTCAGGACAGTTATAACATGCTTTCAAATGTTTTCTCAAAGGAGAAAGACTAACGGCGCGAAGTCATTAAAATATCAAAGCCTAATGCAAAGGTTAAAATATAACTAGAACAATTTACTACGTCACGTTGTTATGATAGACTACTCCACACAGGAGCGAGTTCAAGTGTAATATACTTAATGCTAATTTTTCAATCAAAGTCAGAAAATACCAGGAAATAACGCTACTCCCACTTTAAAAACACTACTTCAAGCAGTGTTACTAATGACAGTAAGATTTTGGACCCCATGTGCACATAGATTATTTTCTCCTGAAACTGAATTTCAAGTTTTGCTTTAGATACAAAGGTGAAGTTTCTGGCAGCTGTACGTGGTCTGCGAGTATAATCATCAATATAAAGTTTACACTCATCAAGCACACAAAAACCTGAAGTTCAAATATAAAACCATTCATTTCTCAACAGTCTGTATTAGCGCTCTTCTGTTAAAACTACCTTAAATTAAAATACCAACCAATTTCACAAAACAGAGACCTATTTTATAACTCTCATTTTATCAACGGATTATGCTTCGTGATGTCAGAGCAGAGCAACACAAGAAATATTCTACACGATTTTGATCTGGTTTGTTTGATAGGCAAATTCAAATGGGAACCTCTTTTAAACTGTATCTCATTAAAGATGGGTTAGCTGGATCCTTTTTCCATACAAAGCATGAGTAATTTGGTGGTAATACACACACCTTCCAAAATAAGGATTAAATTCTCCTAAATTACACTCCTAGTCAACTCACCATCCTTAAGTATCCTTTACGCTCCAGACACTATAATATGCCCTGGGGTAGCTGAGGATGAACATGATATGATAATGCCTACCTAGGAGCTAATGACCAAAGGGAAGAAACACACACAGAAACAAACAAGTCATCGCATCCGCATCCAAAAGAAAGGCTGTCATAGAGATAAGTTACATCAAAGGACAAAGGAAGGCATCCTAGAGGGCATGATTAGGGAGCTGAATCATAAAAGTTATCAGCAATTTTCAAATTTAAAAAAGAGGAATATAAGCCAGGCAAAGGGAATAATGTGTACAAAGTCACAGAAACAGGAAACAGCATCGTGAGTGGAGGAATTCATGACAGATTTGGCACCGCTGGAGCACAGGGCACACGGCAGCGAGTGTCAGAGGTGAGAACAGACAGGGTGGCTGGAATCTGCCGTGGCTTTCTATGCCAGGCTAAGGAATACGGTTACTTTCTAACTGTAGATACGGTATTTTATCTATTTTATATAGCAGCGCATTTTAAGAAGGGGAGTGTCATGAAAAGGTCTGTTTTAGAAGAATACTCTCTTCCGTGTAAATGAGGAAGAGATATGGAAGTAGGGAAACAAGTTTGGAGGATTACAACCATTTAGCAGAGATGAAGAGGGGACAGATTTGAAAGACTTTTCTCAGGCACATGAAGCAAATTTTAGTGACCACCAAAACTATGGAAGAGAGAGGATCCAAGTACGATTCGGAGTTTTCCAGCTGAGAATTAACCCACTAAATAAATGGTGTTGCAATGAACAAAGAAGAAGTTATGTATGCAAGCGCTCAAACTCTAAAGCACCACTCAGTTACCAGCTATTGAATATTATTCAATAATTCAATCCTATTACTTACAGAGAAGCTTATGGTCATCATCTTGTGTCCAATCAACAAAATGTAACAACCAAAATTACAAAATTAAAAGGAAATATTTACATATGTAGAGTTACCTCATAGCAAGCATCAGAGTCTAGACAGGTGTAAACATTCTGCTGCATAGTTAACATGTCTTGCAGCAACATTCTCCAATGAGACTCACTGACAGGAGGCTGCCTGGGGGTAAAAAAGAAAATAATTCATGAAATTGCTCTCTTCAATTAGTCAAAAGTAAAAAAAATTGGTACCACTATTCTATATGCCACACAGCTCCCACATGATCAAGAGAAACAGATCTCATTTGAATTTCCAGGGGAAAAAACTTTGATTAAAGATAGAGGGAAGGGCTTCCCTGGTGGCGCAGTGGTTGAGAGTCCGCCTGCTGATACAGGGGACACGGGTTCGTGCCCCGGTCCGGGAAGATCCCACGTGCCGTGGAGCGGCTAGGCCCGTGAGCCATGGCCGCTGAGCCTGCGCGTCCGGAGCCTGTGCTCCGCAACGGCAGAGGCCACAACGGTGAGAGGCCTGCGTACCGCAAAAAAAAAAAAAAAAAAAAAAAAAAGATAGAGGGAAAAGTTGGACAGTGACGCATCAATGCCAGAAATATTGCCAGAGCTGCCTCTGCCGTAGGCTGCCTAGACACAAAACTGATAATGGCAAAGGTAAACAGCTATGAGTTACTAAGGTAAAATAAAGCACACGGTAAAGTAAGATAAAGCAGCTGTGATATAGCAGAAAAAGCACTTGGAGACAGGAGAATGAGTTTCAAATTCCATCTTCATCACTCTGCAGTCGCCAGCAGGGTGTGTTCTTAATTTCAACCACACATGCAGACCCAGAGGGCAGCAGGGGCCACACCTAGCATGAGTCTGGAGGCGGGAAGCACAGCTGGCCAGCCGGCAGCCCTAGTGGTTCCTCTCAGTGGGACTCCATGCGGCAGTCCACAGAGCCTGGGGTAGAGCACTGCGGGGGTTCTCTCCCATCCAGGCGACAGCCCAGGTGCCAGCCCAGGTACGACAAGCCCTGTCAGGTAGCTGCAGTTCCTATCTGGCTTAGGAAGGAGCTTCATTCCCCACAAAAGTCAGTACCTTTTTTTTTTTTAACATCTTTATGGGAGTATAACTGCTTTACAATGGTGAGTTAGTTCCTGCTGTATAACAAAGTGAATCAGCTATACATACACATATATCCCCATATCTCTTCCCTCTTGCATCTCCCTCCTTCCACCCTCCCTATCCCACCCCTCTAGGTGGTCACAAAGCACCGAGCTTATACCTTTTGTAACAATTCCATTGGCATAGTTTTCAGGGTCCCCTCGAGGATAAGCCAGTGACCACACATAGGAAAGCCAAAGTTTCAAGCCCCTACCAGGTTTTCTAGTTCATTTACACAGTTCCTCCAGGAGCAATTTACCAATCAGAGATGAAGTAGTGAGGCCTACACTATCTAGTTGATCAAATACCATTTCATGGTAGTATCCAGACTTACAGAGTTAAAGAATCAGTGGTTCAGATTCTCCTGCAACAGGGGAAACACTGTTGTTAACAATGTCACAGAGAGTCACATATTAGCTGCGTGACTATATTTAACATTCTGGAATTTCAGCTTTCTCACTTAAAGAGAATCTCAAAAAATGATAAGGAAGGGATGAGATTAATTTTGAAAAAACACAGACAATGAAACAAAATTTTTCCTGAGTATAAAAACAAGCTCAGTTACCTGTATGGATTTGAATAAATTTCTTTGAGCTTCAGTTTCCTTTTCTGTATATTATGATAATTAACTTAAACTAGAATGTATGAAAAAGACACTCCCCATATTTTTCTGGTACAAAGTAGCATTCAACAAGTGTGAATGAATAAATCTGGAAGTCACAAACACATCTGTTTGTTTTTCTGTAGTCACATACACAACCACTAATATTGTCTAGTAGGAGGGAGAATGTGCTGTAATTCTCTCTACCTCTCTCAAAAGTTCATCTTTGTTGAATATATGTGAGTTTGGAATCATCATTTATGTTTATTTTCTAGTCTTGAAGTTCTACATAATCATGAATCTCATTGTTTGAAAAGGGTAGGTTTGGTTTTGTTTTCTGTTTGTCAAATTCCAACTGGGTGTTCCTTTTCCACGCGTCATTTTCTTTCTTATGCATTAAAAACAGGGCAAATAGACTGTGTTTAATAGTATTGCTATGGAAAAATTATGCATTTGGGATCTTTCCTACAAAAATTCTAGTCTTCAGGAATTTTTTTCACCTAAAATTTTTAATAACCATATGCTTCATTTGCTTATAGCATTTTCTATTTGCTACACAAAATGAACAATTATTTCTCTCTGATATGTATTAAAGCTTAAGAGAATACATATTTTTTTCAGCATACAAATACACAAAACAAACTGATATATTTGCAAGTCTTCAAGGATAATCCCTGAAGTGTTTCCATTAGTTAGACCTTGGTACGTGAACTCTTTGGGTGGGCTTCAAAGAATTAAAAGACTCTTTCAAATTTGGCTCGCAGGCAGTAAAGTAGCAAAATGTTTGAAAAAGTGAGTGTCCATCTTGCACCAGCTTCATAAAATCAGACCTGGGTACTGTCTAGCTGAATTCAAGTTCTCGCAGCCCAGCTGTTCTTCTAGAAGCCAGCAACACTGGGACAGATGGTATTAATGTTTTCTCACACATGGCTAGCCTTAAGTACAGGTTCTAATTAAAATAAATTATAAGACATTAGTTCCAAAGGTCTTTTTAGAATACATGCAGTAAATAAGAACCAAGAGAAGAACCTGGAGGCACTATACAAGAGGTGTGCAAATTGACAGGGAAATACCTGAATACAAACAGGATGTATTAGTTACAGCTTTGGAATGGAGGTGTATTTTCCAGCGAGAAATAGTATTGCACTCAAGATAGTAAAACCTGATTTGTGACAGTCAGTGAAATCTGCCACCATTTAGAATATGCATAAGAAAATTTGATAGGTGCTAAAGGCCAAGCCATAGTAGCATATATGAAATAATTAAGATTCATTTCAAGTTGACTACCTTGAAAAAAGAGGCCATATTCTCTTACATATTCACAGTAAGTAGAATGCCATAAGTAGAAATTAACTGCAAGGACTTTAGAAGTATTTGAGGGATTCAATGGAAGGACAGCAGGTAATCTAGCAGCAACAGTGAGGCTTTCTTACTGAAGAGTAGGTTCTTGACTAGAGCCAACATGATGGGAAATATTGACCCATCGTTTATAGCTGTAAAGAAAGTTTAAGACTTAAATTGTCAACACCTCCTAAATTATTCATTTAGTAATTACTGAGAGAGGGATATGTAAGGTTCCAAATTAGATGTTTGGTGACTGTAGCACTTGCCTTAGATAAGCTTATGATTTTGAAGGGAACATAAGGCACATAAATCAATAACTAAACTGTTGAAAGAGACAGAGATAAAGAGAGAATTTTAAGGCTTCCTGTAAATCTACAATAATTTTAAGAAATAATAATCCATAAATAATAATAAATCCATAATAATTAATACAGGATGGTTATTAGAGGAATGATAGACAAACAGACCAATGGATCAAAATAAAGGACCCCAAAATAGGCCCCCGTAATATGGAAAACTGATATTCAACAAAGATGCAAATGCAATTCAGTACAGAAAGAACAGTCTTTTCAACAAATGCTGCTGCAATATTCAGATATTAAAAGAAAATAATCTATACCTTGAACAATAAACAAAAATGAACTTTCAAAATGGGCCATGAAACTGATTGTAAAATGTAAAACTAAAAATTTTACTAAAAATGGCAGGAGGAAATCTTTGTGCCAAAAGTTTCTTAACATGACATCAAAAGCACAATCAACAAAGAACAAATTGATAAGCTGGACCTCATCAAAATTTATAAAGTATGCCCTTCAAAAGACACAGGTATGAGAATGAAAAGATAAGGCATAGATAGGGGAAAATCTTTGCAAAGCGTATATCTAATAAGGACTTGTATCCTGAATGTATAAGAAAACTCTCAAAATCAGTAAAGAACCCAATTTTTAAAATGATCTAAGAAGATACACTGATGTCAAATAATCACATAAAAAGATGCTCAACGTTATTACTCACTGGAGAAAGCAATTAAAACCAAAATTAGATACCACAACATACCTATTAAAATCACTAAACTTTAAAAGACTGACCACAGCAAGTACTGACAAGCATGTAGAGCAACTGGAACGCTCCTAAAAGACTGATTAAAAAATAAAATGGTACAAATGCTTTGGAAGACAGTTAGGCAGTTTTTTTAAAAGTTAACCATCCACCTACCATGTGATCCTGCCATTCCACTCTCATGGATTTATCCAAAAGCAATGAAAGCGCATGTCCATACAAAGGCTTGTACATGAATATTCATAGCAGCTATATTTGTAAAAGCCAAGACTCAAAATAAACCAAATGTCCATCAACCAGTGAATAGATAAACAAAGTGCAATAAATCCATCAATGGAATACTAGTCAACAAATAAAATGGAATAAACTACGGATCCATGATACAACATGGATGAATCACAAAGTAATTATGCTAAGTGAAAGAAGCCAAACAAACAAACAAACAAAGCGCATATACTGTCATGACTCCATCTCCATAAAATTCTAGGAAATGCAAAGGACGATGTAGAGACAGCAAATAGATCAGTGATAGCCTGGGGAGGGGATGGGGGTGTAATGAGGAGAGGCAGAAGGAGGGAGGGGATTATAAATGAGCGAGAGAAAGCTTTTAGGGGTGATGGATACATTCATTATTTTGACGAGGTGATGGCTTCATGGGTATATACATATATCAAAACATCATATTCTATACTTTAAATATGTGCAATTTATTGTTGGTCAATTATAACCCAATGAAGTCAGAAAAAGAAAAAAAGTAGTACTTTTTCTTAATCACATACAACTATCGATTAATTTTATTACTCACTTACGACCGGTGTGCCTGGTCAATCTAACCATCAGCTTGTGTGCCTCTTCTGAGCTAGACTGAGTATTTTTAACATACGAAATTGGTTTCTCAAGTCCATGTTTCTCCAAAATCTCTGACACACTGTAAGTGAAAAGAAAAATTTTTAAATAAGTCTTGCTACCAAACAAAAAAGCTCTAAGAATCTTAAACACATAAGTAGCACTTAGGTGTTAAAAGTATTTTCAAAAAAAGTAGCATAAAGGATGACCAAATTTTACACATTACATTAATTCTCGGCAAAAAAAAGCTAATAATTATATATCAAATCTTATTTCCCCTACTGACTTTTATTACAATATACTTGGGATAAGTTAACATTTTTTAAAAAGCCTGGCATATCCTTATCTCAAAATCTTTTTTTTATAATTTTCCTGTACTGTAAAAGCATCAAGTCAGCAAAATAAGCCAAATCTATAACTGCAATACCCAGCTTTAACTCTTAACAACCTTAGTGAGTATTCTGTTATAGGCAAGGCTGCTAGAAAAGCAATAAGCAAAGAATTTTAGGGTTGGAAAACCACAGAAACCCCATAAGGCTCAATCTCCCTCAAGAATCCATTCTATAAACAAACAAATAAGATTTCTGTTCTCATATGGATCTTCCTGAGATATCCTATTCCGTAATTATCAGCATTGTATATACACCTTTTCTGTCTCACCAAGTCTCACACTTATGAATTAACCACTACTGGGCTTAAAGAGAGGTTGGACAAAATTCAGTAACTCTTCATAAAGATAAGTTCCATGGGTCACGTCACCTGACCTTATATACACTAAAACATTTATCAACTATTAATGGCCATGAGGTGGAACCGCAAAAAAAAAGTTCTCCTTTAAAAGGTTAGTAAATTAAGGTGAACAGTGAAAGACCTGGGTATCAACCAGAAACCTAAATGGTGTTACTGTTTCCTTAAGGTATTGAGAGCATAATTTGACTATCAAGACAACCCATGGTTACACCCAGGAACGTATGGTGAAATAAATGATGTATATTATGAAATATTTTTTTATGAAATGCATTATGTTTATTATATTGTATTTCCTTGAGAAAGCTCTTTTCAGGTTCATTAGGGAGAAAAAGGAAACCATGCAGATTTGTAGGGAATGAATCTATACTGACTTAACCCATTAAGCTTTGTTCAAACTATGCTCAATTTTTCAGGGAGGCTGGGGAGAAGAGAGGGACATCAAATTAGTAGATTCCCAAATTCTTATACTTTACATATTACCACTATCAAGTGATGTCATTACCTATAATTTCTATAATTATATATTGGAAGAACAAAGTTTACTAGTCCTAAAATTTCATTTTTAATGCAAATATTTAAAAATTACACACAAGCACATTATATATACATATAAAAATGAACACTAGTAAACAATATTAAACTTCCTGAATAGCAAATTAGAAATTTTCAGTCTCCAAAAGAGACAGTTTAATGCTTCATTTTCACAGTAAAGAATATTGCTAGAGTCACTAATATAATATAACCCAGAGAGTCAATCAAATGTAGTATACCCCAAAAAGGAAAGTCAGGGGTTATAATAAACACTGTTTGCTGATGGATGTAATAACTGCTGAAGGAACTAATATTTCTTATTTACCGACTATGTGTGAGGTACTTTAAATGCTTTATCTAGTATCAATTTCACATCTCATGAGGTAGATATGAGAGCTAAGAAAACCCTAGGCTCAAAGATCACACGGCTAGTAAGTTACAACGCCGAGATGTGAACACAGTTCTACTAGTCTTCAAAGTCCATGTTCTCATTACTGTAGCATTCTGCTAAAATAAGCTAGCATTATATTCATTATTAAGAAAATTCACTCCTAAGAGAGTCAAACAAATATTAGGTGAAACTGGAAATGATCACTAGGCATATTTAAGGTAACATTTCTCGGACAGACCTCCTTAATCAGCATGGAACCAAAAGATCGTCATTTTTCTCACCTGAGAATGTGTTCCAGTTGGTCTACCATGTCATGAAGAGCTGTGGTTACCTCTGTCTTCTGACTAAAGGATTAAGAGAAAAGAATTTAAATTAGGTTTTAGTAGTAACTTTTTACTTGAAATACTAAACTCACTTAAGTTTAAAAAAAAAGTGATGTTTCCCTTGTATTTAATATATGACAGTATCACCCTGTCCAAATAAAAGGTCAGTCTTATCTCCTATACTCATTCAGCATCTTTCATGACTCAAAAGAGATTAAGATAAAAAATACTGGAATATAACAATATTCTCTATTACAGATTAGTGAGATATGGGCAATTATTTTCCTAAGAACTTTCAGTTCAGTTCTGCTAAAAGCAAAAAAGAATTATATATCAGTTGTAGTCTTTCTTTAAAGAAGTGGCAAATGATAAAGCCATCATTTATTTCTACTCTTTTAACCAATAAAACAGATTAGGAACCATGGCCCTGCACGTTGGCTTTCTCCTAGTCCTATCTATTCCACCTGTGACAACCCTAGGACTTTTCCATTAGGATTCTATATACTCAGGGGACTTCTCCCATGTCATCATTCACTCTGCCTCCACTGCAATATTTTAAAACGAAAGAGAAGTACATACCCATCATACAGATAATTCCTACCGGGAGTGGAGATAACAAGCACTTTTCATTTTTCCTTTCTCGGGAAAAAAGTAGACGGGGGACTAGGAGAAACATTACCGTGAAAAAGATGATAAACTAATAAAAACATGGCTGATAGGGTAGATTTAGCACGGCACAACGCACGTACAAGTGCAAGGGATTTGGTAGAAAGGTTAAGCAACTGCTATAAAAGTCCTCTGCCACCCTCTGCAACTCTGTGTCCCAACCTTGGAGGGGTGACTCTCAACTGAGAACCACTGTACCTGACACTCTCAGGTGCTTTCCAACCAATGATTCAACTGAATTCCAGCAATTCTTAGGATTTAATAAGAAAGCTAAATAAAAATCTTTATCTGGACTTGGAAAATTAAAAATGACCTAAGTGAACACAAAAGTCTCACTATCTTTATTTTTTTATTATTATTATTATTTTTTTTTAGATGTTTGGGGTAGGAGTTTATTAATTAATTAATTTTTGCTGTGTTGGGTCTTCGTTTCTGTGCGAGGGCTTTCTCTAGTTGTGGCAAGCGGGGGCCACTCTTCATCGCGGTGCGCAGGCCTGTCACTATCGCGGCCTCTCTTGTTGCGGAGCACAGGCTCCAGACGCGCAGGCTCAGTAGTTGTGGCTCACGGGCCTAGTTGCTCCGCGGCATGTGGGATCATCCCAGACCAGGGCTCGAACCCGTGTCCCCTGCATTGGCAGGCAGATTCTCAATCACTGCGCCACCAGGGAAGCCCACTCACTATCTTTAAAACGATCAATCTGTCCTGGTCTAAATCTATGTGGCAATTATTTCATGCAATTTACAAAGATTATACTATCTTTTTAAACCGAGTTTCAGGCCTTGGACTAGAGTGATAAATTAGGGCACATTCCACTTAAAGTCCTTCAAAAAAAAAAAAAAAGATCATTTATCGGAGATAACTTCAATTAACATACTCATTCAGAAACAATATTTTTTAAATTATCATTTTGTAACTCTACAATAAACATTTGTCACTGATTTTCAGAATATAGCGTTCTTCCTCTGTGAACTGACATTCACAAACATAATGACTAAAGATTTTTTTCAGCCAGATGAAATGTGCTGCCTAGGTAAGATGTATAAAAATTTAATTTCCTAAATAGTGAAAAAATACACAGTTAACCATTTGGTAAATACCAACCATTTAACCACTAAAAATAAACGACTGATCACTGGGAGAACGTGAATTGACGAAGTTGGCGCGAGGAGGAAAGAGAACCAGACGAAGTATTTTGAAGGCCTATATTTTAATACTAGGCTAATTTATAATTGCAAATTATTTAGAAAATTATAATTATGAAATACAATCATTAAGAAATAAATGGAACAACAAAACAGCACCATGCTATTTTTTACGTTTACCAAAAAAAAAAAATCTGTTAGATCAGAAACCATTAATCTGAAGCCAAAAAAAGCTTTCATCCACACATACACAAGAGGCATTTCTTAGCCTACACATTCTTTGAAAACAAATACACTCATCCTCTCATTATAATGTCTACATAAAAAATGTTCTTTTAATATCATCATTCAATTAATATCATGACTTTCTACTCATGGTAGGAAAATTACTATTTAAAAGTTAATAGATGAGCTCTGATTGATATTTATGCTTATTTGATCTCACTGAAGAACTGAAGAACTAAGTCTAATACATTTATTTTTAAAAATTGCACATGTCAGTTGGAAGTCAATGATTTTACCTAGATGATTCAAGGACAACCAAGGGGCATCAAGTGGGCCCTCAGAGGGACCATCAAATTACCCACCTAGACCCTTTAAGGAAGAAACTCCCCACCACTTCTGCTCTCTGAGATGCTTGTTAAGAAGAGGATTCTGCATCTCTTGTCACCCTCTGGGAAGAGCACCTTGACTACTGATACTCTGATATCCACTGGGCTGAGGTTTTTAAATGATGAGTAATGACAGTTTGCTAAAAAATTGTTAATACAATCCACGTTACCAGCCCTTTGTTGCCTACTGAAGGCCCACGGTTCCCAGAGGTACACCTGCTGCTCTTCACTAAGGATGGGAGGGAGCTTGCGGTCATATCTGTACAGGTTTGGGTAATAAACAGATGCTGTGATTGTAACTTTTCCTACATGAAGACTCCCTAAACCTGGACTGAGGAAGGGAAGTATTAACTACTAGTACAGTCTCCATTTAGCTTTACCAGTAACAAGGTTAACTGCTTTCCTTCTTGGGGGTCAGTACTTAGACCCTTAATGAGAAGAGATGAATAATCAGGATCTACAAACCACAAACCACCCAACATTTCTGTAACATAATACACAGAATCTAAGATTACCTTACCCCCCCAAAATCAAAACTGAAGCAAGACTGACAATCTAGCTGCTCACATATAAGGCAATTTCCCAAGGACTCCTATAAAGAAAAGCCTTCAGCTTGTCACAAGGCATCCAATCAACTTTTAGCATCTTAGATATAAATTCATGGCCAAGAATCACTAGACATGGAGGAAAGGTCCTCACAGTAAAAACAGAGATGCAAACAAACAGAATATGAAAAATCAGAGATCACGGTGGGGCAAGGGTAATGCAAGGTGCAGAAGTGAATTTATGCATCTGTGAAACAAGAGCAGGGTATTACTTTGTTTGAAAGTGAATGAGAAAAAGTTCTTGGAATTTAAATAAGAAAGCCAAAATAAATTTTAAATTCAAAATACGGATTAGAAGATAAAACTATAGAAATCTCCCAGATCACTTAACAAAAGATCAAAACATGGGAAAAAGAACAAAAAGAGCAGTAAATAAATTTAAAATGTGCAAAAAAAGAGAAAAAAGGACATGCAAATAAACTTATCAAGGAAACTTAACAGGAAAAAAATGTAAGAAAATTTCCCAACAGTTTGAAGGACATGAGTTTCCAGGTTGAAATACACGATTTAAATGAACAATGATAAATTCAGACTCAGAATAAAACACATCCTTATGATACTTCAGAACACTAGAAATGAAGGGAAGGTACTGAAGTATTCCAAAAAGGGGAGGAAAAAGCCATATAATAGCCTTGGACTTCTCAACAACAGTGGAAGGAGAAGGCAAGAGTGATGCCTTCGAAACTCACAAGGAAAAGGATCAGAAACCTACAATTCCATACACAGCCAAGCCTTCCATCAAGTGTAAGAATGCAATTATGATATTTTTTTGACATATGATAGTCTTAAAATAAACATGCCTCCATGCAATATTTGACAGGAAGCTATTCAAGATTATGTTCCATCAAAATAAGGGAATAAGCAAAGAAAGGAAAAGATAATCCCAGAAATGCAATATGCAACACAAGAGAGACGCAAACAAAAGTCCAAGGATGAATGCTGTACAGCAGAGTAGAGAACAATTCATATCAAAGGAAGAGAAAAGACAATTCTAAGAAAGATGTTTCAAAAGTAAGAGGGAGAGAGAGAGAGACATAGAGTGAAAAGAGAAAGGAGAGATTACTAGATATTTTTGACCTTGAAAAGGAATTTTACATTTCTGTCAGAAGAGTGAAGGAGGTAAATGGAAACAAAAAACAACAAAAAAGGAAATTATTCAACCACGAAAAGCAAAAAGTTGCATAAAAAGGAAATATAATCATACCCAGCTCTGTGTAAACAGTATATACATAATCATAATGATAGAAATACCACTTTGACTACACTGAAAAGAATGGTTAAGAGAAGTAGGTATGGGGGAAGGGTAGGCTTCAATGAAAGAAAGTCAATAATCATCTAAAATTGTAAAATCAATAAATAGCAACGTTAGCACAATATTTTAAAGGAGGCAGGCAAAGTCAAGAAGAAAAGCATGATCTATAATGAGTGCTTACTTTTAGAAGACAGGTATCAAAGGATGGGGAAGGAGAGCAACCAATAGTTTTTTACCGATTACAAGTCTTCCTGTACCCTGATTTTAACTAGTACATACATTATTTACTTTACGGTTAAAAATCAGAAGGGGATCATGTTCCCTTGGACTTCATGATTCTAGAATTTCACCTCCTCATCCCCACCAATTTGTTTTTCTCCATGGCACTGACTTTTCAAAGTGAAAAGACAGTATGACCTGTAGCATATCTCACAGTCTGTATTTATCTGTTTCTTTTCTTCGTGGTGTTATTTAACTTGTTCTCTTATTCCTTACATTGACTGTAAACTAGAAGTTTGGCTTAAAGGATTGATTAGATTCAGGGTAAGTAATTTTACTTCATACTGCTTCACACCAGGAGGCACATATGGCTAGGCTGCCTGATTGTAAGTGATGCCATATTTGATAACTTGATCAAAGGTGACGGCAGTGAGACTTAGACTTTATAAAGGTCAATTTCCCCTTTGCAATTCCCAAAAAAAAAATATTTGCTAAAGGTAATACTTTGGTACCATGCAAATATCCCTTCCCCATCAATTTTTCACCTGATTTCAATTCTATTAATGACTACATGAAACAATTATTCCACATTGGGTTGCAAAATCAAGTGACTTCTATCATTCATTTCACACACAAAAATAAAAATTTCCTTGGAAGGAAAAGAGAGAAGAAGAAAACCAAAGCATGAGGAAGACTTCTTGTCTAAACAACTGATTTTGCAAATGAGGAAACTGATGACCATAGAAGTTACGTGACTCAGCTGTAGTCACAAAGGCTTAGAAACAGGCCCACTGATTTTTCATTCAGTTTTCATGCTTTTCCATGTGCTGTTATTAACTTCTCCAGATATGAAATTTATAATATGTACTGTGTGTTAAAAGAGTGATTAAAGGAATGATTGTTATGTGACTTGCAAAGAGAAAATATAATCTGATTTGCATACCACTAAATGAGGTATGTATATCCATGCATTATTACTTAGAAGTTTTACTCTGGGCAAGGGCCAGGAACAAACAATTCATAGAAAAAACACAACTAGCCCATAAATAAGGAAAAAGCTTAATTAGAAACACAATTTAAAACAAAGAGATATCACCGTTTATCTACTTAAGAGAGTACTTTTTGTTGTGGTGGTAGTGATATTCTTGCTTGCTTTTTAATGGATAATTATCAAGGTTAACAAAATTATAGTGACGTCCTATATACTGTTAGAAAAACAAGTGTCTATCTCGAGACAACAGGTTTGCACATGATCTCATTTTCTTCTTTATATTCCCAAAATTCTCTATAATGAACATTCAGAGAAGCAACATCTTCATTTTAACTGTTAGAGTAAAAAGACACAACCATAACAAAGGCACACTGTGGGTTCTTACCCATATCCTCTCTGTGGCAGACATTCTAATAAGTCATAGCAAAGAGCGAGCTGGTCATTTCGTTCACAGTTATAGATGCATTCTAGTGCTACTGCCATCAGTTGGTCCTGATCAGGAATGATTTTTTGCTGCAACTAGAGAAATAAAGCATGTTGTGCTAAATGTCAATAGATTTACATTCAATTTTGCCATATCCCAGTACCACTGTCAATAGAATATTAAATAGCGCAGTTAATCAGCCACAGAAACAAATCTTGGTTTTTCTTTAGCTTACAGACTTTTGGGGTCTTTAATTATTCTAAAGGAAATTGCATTTTAATTACAGAATCAGCAAGAAAAGAAAATTCGTACCCATAAGCTATGCATCTGCTGAAAACAGATTCTTCAATTCATGACCCATTCAAGATAAAGTAGATAGAAGAAACACAGTGAACTAAAAAGGCAATTCATTAAAAACAACATTTCTAACCCTAAAACCAAATTTTATGTGTTTCAATCACAAATATATAAAATTCCTTAACTAATATTCAGAGATGTTCAAACCTACTATTTTTCAGTGTGCATTATGTATTAGTCATTTAACACAACAGTATTGACATTCTATTCGAAAGAAGTCTCATTGCAATGCGGTAATATTCATATCCCAAAATACACTCCATATTTCTGATGCAGAAAAATGGCTATTGGGGGTCACTTTCCCATTGTAAACCACAGAGCCCCATTCTTAAAGTATTTTCTGGGATATAAAAATAACAGATTTGTGCCTTGTTTTTCTCATCTATAAAACTGGAATATTAACATCTTCTTAATAGCACTGTTGTGAGGATTAAATAACTTAATCCATGTAGAATGCTTATGATATCTTCCTGCTTCCTGTCTTTCCCTCCCTGAGACGCTGAAGTGTCCCTTGAAAGTTGAATGTTCTAGAGTCCCTGTTTGATCAGGCATGCTCAAAACCCTTTAGTAGACCTTCAGCGTGAAAGGTCAAGAGCAAACTTTTTGCCTTCCACTCAGGCTCCTTCATGGCCTGGTGCCCACCCACTTTTCCAGTGCTATGAATCACTACCTCTCTGCTCAAAGTTTTAGTCCACTCAGGTTAAATAACTTGCCTTTATCTAAACATATCACTAGTTTGATTACGTCCCCTTGTCTTATTCTACTCCTACCTGGAATGTCTTCTCGAGGAACTTCTTAAAACCTTAGTCTCTAAAACCTCCCGAATACTCCAGTTTTATGTCCATTTGGCTGACTTCAATTGGACTTCCCCAGATTTCCAGAGTCTCTTGCTTATACTTGCTAACTGCTGGTCCAATGGCTAAATCCTCATACGACTCTCTACATGAATTCTTTTCCCTCTCTGTACTCCCATGGCACCTTTCCGTTCTCTCCCTATGCCACTCAGCATATCCTTCTTAATACACTCTACTGTGTACGTGAATCATCATGCTCACATTAAGATACTTTTCACTGTTGTCCTATTAGACTCTCTACAGATGTCCAACTTCATATAGTAAGACACACTTCCTTTTATTCTCATTATTCCTGTACTAATATCTCAGTGGTCACTATTAAACCATCATTTGTCCCACCTCAAGCTAATAGAAGGGGGCCCATTTAGGACTTTCCAAGAAATCAATAAACCTTCCCCACCATGGGCTGCTAATTATCTCCCATATTGCATAGCAAGGTAAAATGTAACAAAGTCATAATTTCTTTCAAAGGGTCTTAAAATTATGCACTAGTAGACAACTAGAAAAAGAACAACAGATGTTAAGCTGGAATACTTGGGAAACCCCAGAGAAACAAGCAACAAAAGAAATCAATGAAACAGTGAAAGAATCACTGAAAATTATCATACAAAAATCAGTAACTTTCATATACACGAACAATGAAGTTAGAGAAAATGAGGGTAAATAAAACTCAATTTGTAATGTAAGCAGAAAATTAAGTGGTTAGGAATAGATTTAACAAGAAATGTGCAAAACCTATGTAAGGAGAAGTTTTAAACACCCCTGAAAGACACTAAGAAAGATTTGAACAAATACAGTGATGTCCCCTATTCTTGAATAGGGTGACTGGACATTATACTAAAGTTCAGATAGAAAAAATATATATACAAGAATAACTTCTGAAAAACTGGGGGAAGAAAACACTACAGAGGAGTACTACCCATACCAGACTATAAAATCTCTATAATTTAAAACAGTGTGGTACTTAGTATATGGACAAACAGACCAATAAAACAATAGAGAAACTCTAGAATTAGACTCAAAACAAATGGAAATTTTGTATATGACAAAGGTGGCATCTCAAATCACTCAGGTACAGATAAACTTTTTTAATAAATGGTGCTGCAACAACTAGGTAGCATAAGGGAAAACATAAAATAGATCCGTATCTCGCACCCTGCAAAAGAACACACTCCAAATAGATTAGGGGTCTAAACGTAAAAATAAAGCCATACAAGTACTAGAAGAAAACGTGAGTGATTTCTTCTTTAACCCTGTAATGGGAAAAGGTTTTCCACCATGTTTCAAAATACAGAAGCAATTAAAGAAAAAATTGCTCAATTTGATTCCACAAAAAATAAACTGTAAAGAATTCTGCATGACATAATACACCATAAACAAAGTCAAAAGACAATCTACCCACTGGGTGAAATATTCACAATAGAAACCACAGAAAAAGGACTAATTACACTAATATATATGAATTTCTAAAAGTTAAGGCACAAAGAAACAAAAATCAAAGTGAAAAATGGGGAAAAGGCAGGAATGGACAGTTCACAAAAATGGGGAAAAGGCAGGAATGGACGGTTCACAAAGACGACAATGCCCCTCAAGCATATGGGAAAATGCTCAAATTCACTCATGTTTAGAGACGTACGAATTAAAACAACACCGAAAGGTAATTTTTCACCCACCACGGTGGCAAAATCTTTTAAATATGACAACAAATTGTGTCTGCAAAGCTGTGGAGAAACAGCCATGCTCATACATTGCTGGTGGAAATGTAAATTGGAACAACCCGTCTGGAGAGAAATGTGGTAATACCAACACAACCCTGCCTTTAGAGCCCGGAATCCCCTTGCAGTAATATACCCTGAAGATATGCCAATAATACAAAATAAATATAAACAGTTACTCGTTGTAGCACTGTTTGTAATTGTCAAATACTGGGAATAGCACAGAAAACTAGTGAGACTGGGTAACAGTTTTCAATTTTATATTTTAATTTATATAACCACACATGGCTAGTGGCTACCATACTGAACAGCACAGTCCTGGAGGCACTTTTCAATTTCCTAAGGAGTGTGGGCCGAACGTAGGCCAAGAGGAAATTGCAGCTGAGAGTTTACAGTGTTAAGGAGACTTCCCCATTTGTCCCCATTACTGGAATACAGTCTGGTATCTACAAGCAGAAGGGCCTAGTAAGTATTCAATACTTCTAATTTGGACCCCCAAATGACCACACCCTAGGAATACGGGAGAATTGGAAATAGGACAGTCTTTTTGAAACCTGAAACAGCTCAATACCCGATCAGATTAAAGTGACCTTCACCGTGGGAGAATGGTGGGAACAGCAAAAACAAGAGTGGTATATTCCATATTCCCCCAAATTCTAATCTATTATACCTGGGTTGGGCCTAGAAAATTGTTTTCTTTTTTTTTTTTTTTTTTTTGGTCCGCGGGCCTCTCCCTGTTTTGGCCTCTCCCGTTGCGGAGCACAGGCTCCGGACGCGCAGGCTCAGCGGCCATGGCTCACGAGCCCAGCCGCTCCGCGGCATGTAGGATCTTCCCGGACTGGGGCATGAACCTGCATCCCCTGCATCGGCAGGTGGACTTTTAACCACTGCGCCACCAGGGAAGCCCTGTTTTCTTTTTAATCCATATAGTTCTGATGCACAAATGCATTAAAAAAAAACAGTATAAAAGACAGAAAACGATACGAGAAGGTAGAATATTTTATTCCCAAGTCATCTTTATCCAGACTTGCCCAAGTTACTTCACAAGTTTCACTTCCCAAAGAGGGATTCAAGCAAAGAGCAACGGCTTAAAATCAGAAATGAGTGCTTAAAATCAGGATGTTATAAGAGAGAGGAAGAGTTTGAAACACATGAGATAGTTGAAAAGACAAATTTGTATTTGTCTTATTGTTCCCATTATTCGCTCCCCTCTTTCTAGTAGACGATTGTTCTTCCCTGCCCCATTAACACCAGGTGCGGCCACAGAGCCTCCAGCCTGTGAAATGTGAGAGGGAGTAATTTAAGGCACCGGGAGCTAAGCTTTAAGAGCCACTGTGTGGTTCTTTGTTCTTTTTCCTGTGCCACAAGTTAGAAAAGGGGACTGTTCTTTCAGCCTGAGTCCTGGAATGAACAGGACATGGAACACAGCAGAAGCCCAACCACAGCCTACACGACACTTGTGAGAAATAAACGTTCGCTGTTGTCAACTACTAAGATTGCAAGGTCATTTGTTAATGCAGCATACCTTGACCTAAGCTGCTGGATACAGAAATCACAGCTCCCTTCAGAGCACTAAAAACACCTTGTGCATGATTCATGGCAGATCCAAGGTAAATTCTTTTTGCGAACAGTCAAGGAAAAGAAAATAAAAACAATGCTCCAAGGACAATCCTAGCACAGCAAATAAATGTAACCAAGTGATCTAAAGCATCATAATGAACCCAGAGTCAATCATTCACTCCTTCATTTGCCCTGCCCAAACGCACTGAGCACTTGCTCGCTACAAGGCACCGCGCTAGTGCCTGGCAGTACAGACACCGGAGACAGAGCGGACAGACCCAGGAAGCAAAGAGAGGGAGAGACAAACTTGAACAAGCAATGACAGCACAGTGAGATATGCATTATTCTAGAGGCAGCTACAAGGCCCACCCTAGCACAGATAAGTCCCCAGAGGTTTCACAGCAGAGGGAGTCTTGGACAGCAGGATCCTGAAGGGTAGGCAGGTATTTGTTAAATGAAGGAAAGGGGTCTGATTATCACAAGCAAAGGAAATAGCCTCACAGAACACAAAAAGGCATGAAAGAACCTGATAGGGTCAAGAGGTGAAAAGTTAGTGTGGGTAAACCAGTGCATTCATGAAGGGAAATGAGGCTGAAGAGGTAGACTAGAAGCAGACCGCAAAGAACCTTCCACGCCAACATTTACCCTGCAGGCAATGGTAGGCCACCAGAGATTTTCTGTAGACCATGACATGATCAAATTTGTGCTGTGGAAAGATAACATCGATAGAAATAGAGAGGGTGGATTGGAAAGGAAGAGCCCAGCAACACCATTATTCTCTGCTTTGATTTTGACATATGTCAAGAAAGGCAAATGGCTATATATTTTATTCAAAAGGCACATGATAAATTACCGAGTAAAAACAACAAAAAGCTGACTATATACAAAGGATTTACAAGACTCTGTAAGGAAGAAGGATCACAAACAAGATTACTCGAAGAATTTAAAGTCACTTCTTTCTTCCTCATAAAACATTCATATTCAACCCATCCTGCTTCTCACATAGCATTCTGCTGTCATAAGCAGCCCGCCCTCGGCTCATAGTAAACCACGCCAAATTTAAAATCAGAATACTAAGTGGAAACTGCTTATGAGAAGATGGAAAACTTTAAACAGCCAATGAACAGAGATATTTCTGACAGACAGCCCTTCCAGAAACCAAAAAATGTGTGAGATTAACTAAGCAATGCTTTCCTTTTCAGCTTGATTATAATGGTCTATGACCATATACCTTAGAGGACATCAAATTGCTAACAAAGGCTAGTACAAGGAGTACTTTCAATTAGAATTTAGGATTAGAAGGGGCCTTCAATGCTTCTGCTTGAATCCCAACCTAATGCTTTAACTCTCACTACAAAGTCAGTGCCTCGAGTGACTACGCCACTCTGCTTGAGTCCCTTCCAATGGAAAGGGAGCCACTATCCCTTGAAACAGTATATTTGATTTATGGTTAAATTAAGAGGTTATTTACATTTCAAAAGTAACCTGCACTTAACAAAACGATTTATCACCAGTAAATCTGAACAACTATTTGATTTCTATAAAAAAGATAGATAGATAGATAGATGATAGAAGATAGACAGATAGATAGGTCAGTCTTCAGCAAATATAAGAGTTATTAAGAATAATTATAAGATCTCCTTATGGGATCCTAAAAATTTTAACAAATATTTTGAAGGTCCTCCAGGGTAGAAGTCTTTTCTTCTTCTTCTACTGGTGTTACAGTAAAGCATAATGGTTAAGAACACAGCTGGGAAACTAGAAAACCTATGTTTGAACCCAAGGTTCCACTCCTTACTGTGACCCCGGGCAATTGCCTAACCACTCTGTATCACGATTTTCTTTTCCTGTAACACTAATATAATCAAAATATCTACATCATAGGATTGTTACAAGGATTAAATGAGTTAACACTTGTAAAGTGCCTACCTATAGTAAGAATTCAATACCTTTCAATTATTAGTCTTTTTGGTATTGCCAGTTTCCACAAGGTAGTAAAGAGTCAACAAACTTTGGAGTAAATCAATCAAGGTAAACATAATCTTAAAAACTTCCAAAAAATTTTTGGACTAAACTGCTAAAACATTTTTAAAGAATAAAATGATAACTACTTCTTCTGTTTAAAGAGAAATTACTTGCAAAGCCTAGTATTAAAAAATTTGTAAATAGAACCTAATTCTGTACAGAGAAAAAAGTACAGAGATTTTTTAAGATGTTAAAGTTTCTACTTACATCAGGCTTGGAATGCTGAAATATCTTCAGGGGAAATTTTAAGTCTCCTTTAGCTAAAGTTACTAAATATTCCTTTAATAGCTCATTAGCCACACCAGGAGACTGTTTCTCACAACGATGAAGAAAGGGAACCATCCACTGGTAGGCACTTGTCACATAATTGTCCTCAGAACACTGAAAATGTAATTCACCAAAACAAACACACGTTAAATTAAATACCTGATAATAACAGACAAGTTAAAGCTCAAGGATAATCAGACTCGTGTGAAACAATGAAAGCCCAACACTTTCTAAAACATACTCCAATTCACGCCTCACAAGGAGACTCACCTTCTGCCTGGGGTTGGTAGAGCCAACAGCAGCAAGAGCACTGTGATCCATCTCTTTAGTACCATGACCACCCTAGTACCATGGTACATGCTACTAGGTCATGACAGCCTAAGCCCAGCTCTGTAAGACAAACACGCTGCTGCTACTATTACTCCTACTGCTGCTCAGTCCTGAGGTCTTCCAGAGCAAAGAGAGATTCTACCTCAAAAGTGTATGTATGTGTATGTGTAAAAAGAGTTAGCGGGTGGGGGTGGGGGTGGGATAGGCCGACAGAAAATGTGAAAGGGAAAAGAACGGAGAGAGATACGCATAAAGAAGCTCTAGAAAGGAGTCATTTGAGAAATCCCAGATTCTCTTCCACCCTTTTCCTCTTCTTCTGTTTGTTTTACCCCTTCACATCCACCTTCACGAAACTCCAAATGACACACATAATCTTACTCATTATCCCTGAAATTATACAATCCTTTCTCGTCTTTATCCCAGGAGATACACCTGAATCTCTTAAGAGGCATCTTGCATGTAACACAACTCAATTTTCACTGGGTGGATCATAGGGAAAAGAAATTAGTAAGAGAAAAGGAAGGTGGGGACAGAGGGAAATAGAAAAGGGGGATTGATAAGAGAAAAAAAGATGGTGAGAGGCATGAGAAAGAGAGGAAAAGTGGGCTCAGCAGAAATCGGTTCCTAACTTTGGAGACTGTACTCCCCCCCCCCGAGTGACCCCCCCTAAAAAAAATCTACGAATGGCCGGGCAAATTCTCCTTCACATACAAACCCTGAAGCCAAGATGTTTTCTTCATACAACCACCCAGCCAATCATCTGAATATACAAGTAGTTGGGAATTTTAACAAAGTGAGGATTAGAAACATGATTAGGAGAATGACAGCTAATTTAAATATGCCTCGCTAGAAGGGGGAAAGAAAGTCATATACAGATAACTATGGATGAAGGGCAAAGAAGGTACAAAACCAGCCAAAGTGGTTCTGGATGCCTTCGGTAATTTATTCATAAAACTTGATTTTTTTTTTTTAAGTCAAGAAACCTTCCTTTATTGACTAAGTTCTCTGGTTTGAAGGACACTACATCTTTGGCTTTGAGACACATATTAATCAAAGTACATATAGAATAGTTAAAAAGAAAGTTTTAAAATAAAACCTACACTATTCATCAGTAATCTTAGTTTTTCAATGTCTTTCATCTGCTGGAGTTCTTTCAAGGTTAGGGTTAAATCACACCCTGCTTCATAAACCAATGCTTCCAGAGTAACCAAATTATCACAGAGAACCAGCAAACCAGGAATATTCCGCTCCATTCCAAGTCGAATAAGTGACAATGCACAGTCAACCTAAAAT